CGACGAGAAGATGGATTGGTGACGAGTTTCGCGCGATTAATTCGTGGAGGAAGGAGTTCAGGGCTTGGATCACAAAAAAGGCGAATCGCGGCGTCTTCCGCGGCAAGAGATCGTGACGTAGAAGGTCGATCGTGGACGGTAGAGGGCGCTTCTACTACAGGAGGAAATTGGGCGATTGATCGATTCCGATTTCGGCAGTTTTGTGGCAGGAAAACGAAGGCTTCAAGCGGGATCACAGCACCTTTGATTGTGAGAAAGTAGACGACATTTGTGATTGGTTCGGGAGAAAGAGTTTTGCGGTGTTCATCGTTCGCAACAGGCTCATTTGGGCGTTCGATTCATAAAGGATTTGCGACGAGGAGTTTGCGAGTTCGGTTTCACGGTCGTGATTCGTCACGACAGTTAACGCGTGCAGGAAAGAGTTTCCGAGTTTGCGAATTGCGAGAAGAATTTTCCGCTGGAGTTCGTTCGGCAGTTTGCGGCTTCTGAAAAAAGAGTTTGTAAAAGGCACACTGGCTCACAGGAACGAACATGTGCGAAACAGTTCAGATAAAGGGTTGTGGTAGTTCAGCGAGTTCTGCTTCTGGAGTTAAAAGCAGAGTCGCGGGTTCGCGCGACACGTAGAGGCGACTTTCACGCTTATGGTTCGTAGAAGAAATTGCGACATGTGGAGTTCAAGGAATTCTGGTAGTTTGGGGTTTGGAGCAAGAACAGAGACGAGCGAATCGCGGTATTCGCGAATTCGGCAACAAGTTCGATTCAGCCCAGGCGAGTTGCAGAAGAAATTCCGGATCGAGGCTTCAGAAGAAGAGGCAGTCGAGAGTTCGCCGATTTCATAGAGGAGAGGAGTTCGATGGTGTTCAGTCAATTGAGTTCGCAAATTTGTCGCAGGAGGAGTTGCGACAGGTGGAGTACGCGAATTTCACGGATTGTTCGCAGGTTTGTCACAGAAGAAATATTGACAGGTGAAGTTTGGCTGATGTTCGCAGTATTTCAACCAAATTTTTGTGCGAACAAGAAAGGTGCTTCATGTGAAAATTTTGATTCACAAATCATAGGAAATTACGAAAAATTTTCTGCAATTGACAAAGGAAATTTCAGGGAATTTCGGATTGTGACAAACAATAGTGAAAGATTTGTTGACACAACAATGAATTTTGAAGTCATTGCGAACTATGAAACCTGATGATAATATCTATAAATTGTTGGGGAGTATAGTTGTAGGTGAAGTTCACTCTGTCGAATCATATGATGAAAATGCAGCAGGAAAGTTGACCAAGCTAGGTATTTTCAACAAGTTCTTGCTTTACGTAAACTTGTTAAATGTTTGCAGCTGCTAGTTGGCATGGTTGCCCCAACCCACTTCAATGTAAGAAACTCTATAATGTATTTCTCCTAAGGAGCTGAATATTTGTATGGTGGAATTTTTTCTCCGAAGGGGCTGGTTATTCGCAAGGTGGAGATTTTCTCCTAAGGTGTTGAATATTTGCCAAGGTGGAGAATTGTTAGGTATGACTCATATATCAGGAAATTTGGAGTATCTTGAAATGGAGATGTGTGTCACCTGTAATGAAAATGTGTCTTTTGGTGTGAAGAGGTGTGCCTCTTGGATTAGTGGGTTGGGGGGGGGGGGGGGGGGGGGAGGGCGGGTTTGCATGTAACTCTTCTGAAATACTAAATTCGCCGCTCTGCTCCCAATGACATAGACATCTTTGTCGAACCTCGTTAAATCTCTGTGTTATTTTTCTGGATTTGCGTTGTTTCACCCTAAATTTCACAACAGAAAATGGTATAAAGTTCTTCTAAGTACATTATTCATACGTAGAATGATTCCTTATACAATGGTTGAGAGTTGTTGCCACTTTGAGTTGTTGTCGAAACTTTGAAGCATTATCTTCGGGGGTACATCGTTGCTCGATATCTATGGCATTGCACTGTTTTATATGGTCATCACTCTTCACGAGACTTCATTGCAAAGTAAATTGTCACTCCATAAGGTTCACCAATGACGATGAGCATAGAATGCCCAACGGCCGTCAACGACAGGCAATGAGCGGTGGTCGGCGACGACAACAATGATCGTCAAGTCATTAGTCTAGAACAAGTCTGAAAGTTTGCTCCTTCTCCTCCTAATCCAGCTCTAGTTCTAGCTTGAAGTCTTGGTCTCATTTCATGAAGGAAGTAAGACTCTATTGATGAATTCTATGATTGACATTCTCTGTAAACAATGCATAAATTTGGACCACGCCGTTTGATGACCCAAAATGATTCCCTCGATCAAATGATATTTTGTGGTTATTTAAGTGCTTTAATGATGTCAGAAATTAGTGATCTATAGTTCATTGGTTTCAATTCATTTAGATGCACGATTTGACTATAAACTTGTCGAATTTGAAATCTATTTGATTCTCCAATTAACTACCCAAAGCTTCCAAAAGTGGTTTTATTACTTGGTTCAGACTTGATTTGACTCAGTTTCAATTAATTTTGGTGTCATTGAGTTCGTCTCGTCTCGTCAGACAGTTCGATTGTATGTTTATTGAATTTTTTAGTTTCTAGTTGATTTTTAATTTGAGTTTTAAAGTTTATTGCTGAAAAAATATATCGAGATTTGTGTCATGATTTCAGATTCAAATTAAATGATAAAAATTTATCGATGCAGTATCACTCATACTTAACTTATAAGTCATAAAATGATAGTGTTATAAATTTATGCATAAAAAGATGTATTTTATATTTAAATAATTAGTAATTATGATAATTTTTACGTGATGTTAAATGTTTGAGTTTTATTTCTGTAAATATGTAATTTTATTTATTATTATTTTTATCGTTATATTTTCATATTGTTGATCCCTTCTTGTTTGAGGTATTTACTTAGATACCACCCAATTATTATCTATTTACATATCCATCATTTAAATGTTATTTTTTACATTTATATAACTGAAATCTTTCATATTATATATAAAAGATATTACTAATTTAACCTATCAAAAGTGAAATGCACATTTTCTTGCAAGGTTGTGTAAATATTGAAGTTTAGGCACTAGATATGTAAATACACTGGCATTAAGTGGTATGCTTGCAAATCTTCTTTCTTTTTTTCATTATTTTATATGAGTCTCAGCATTTCCTTCATTTGTTAGAATTTTAAGAGTTATTATACAGTGATTTTTTTGGGGGGGAATTTTATGGATATTTATAAAACCAGCACTATTTACATTTATATTTATCTTATTTATTCTATTATTTTTAATATAAAGTGATGTCAAAGAAGTGGTTTAGGCATGCCAAATAGCAATGACCACTAAGTAATTAGGTCTAATGAAAAACTCTTTTATGAACATCATGCCAAATGTGCATAAGAGTTAACTTGGACTAAACATGACGACATAAGCTTGTGAGTCATGAGTGTGTTGGGCGCTTGTATGTATTGAGGACATGCGAGCGGATGTGTTTTGGCAATGACATCCATGTTGTGAAAAACGATGACAATGAAACAAAAAATTGGAACGAGAAAAAATTGCACGCAGAAAAAACACCAGAGCGACACACGGATTTACGGGGTTCGACAAATTTGCCTACGTTCACGGAGCTGCTGAGGATTTTATTTCTTCAAGGAATTACACCGTCGAGCGCCTCGACGTTTACAAGAAAATCTCTATTTTCTTCTCTCCATTCCTCTCTCTCTCTTCCTCTCTTTCTTTTAGCTCTCAAGAGGACTTGGCTTGGCCTTTGCTTGACTTGCAGTTCCTTTAAACCAAAAGAGACTATTTATGGAAACCATGAGAGCGATAGGTGGGAGGTAGGTCTGCGGTAGGTGGGAGGTAGGTCTGCGGTATGTGGGTGTGGTAGGTGGGAGGTAGGTTTGCGGTAGGTGGGAGGTAGGTCTGCGGTGAGATACTTAATTAAGAAGTTAATTAAATTCGGTGGATCGGGTCTCCACATTACCCAACAATTCTCCCACTTGGAGACTGAGACACTGAATGTATCACCTACTAGCTGCATTATCTACTAACTATACCGATCTTTTTCTCAAACATGCTATCCTCCATCTCTGCAACTCGAAGCCCCTGTCTTCATGCCAGAAGACCAGCTAAAGTTGAGCACAACTTCAACTTCTCATGAGTAACACCTTCAGTTGACATATCACCGTCAACGTAGCCTCGTACCACCAAGCTCTTTCCTGGGTTACTCTTGTATCTGCTTACAACTCCCACTGCATGAGCAATATTCTGCCCCTGCTGAAATCCCTTTTCAACAAGTCCAGCCGTGTACCTCTTACTGACATCAAGTGCAACCTTTACCCGGTATACCCACTTGCTGTGCAATGTCTTCTTTCTTGGTGAGACATTCATGGAATGCACGTTAAGAGACTTTAAATCTTATGAAAAAAGTAAGATTTACTTAATATTTTGGGGCATGTACATACATGCCACGCACAATTCTGATGTATTTACATATTTAACAAATAAACATTCATATTCACATATATATCGATAAAATTTTTAACATCACATCAAAAATTTTCTCATTATCATCTTTTAAAAAATAAAATAAAATTTCATCATAATTTTTTTTAAGAATAAAATAAATAATCATATTTACATAAAAAATAACATCATGTTCATTTATGTAAAAATCTTTGGCAATTGTAAATTCACAAGATTATGTGATTCGTATGCAAAATTTTCTAATATTTTTTGAGTGCTGAAGGTGCTGTAGTAACCTTGAGCATAATTACACACGTAGCACTAGAAACACTACCAATTATTATTTACAAAATATTGCATATAAATTATATTTTTGAACTATAAAATCGATTTATTTATGGTTGCTATCATCAAAACATTGAAAATATGATAAAATTGAAAAATATGAGTTGTGATTTTATTAAGAATTTTAATTTTTTAGTGTAATTTAAAAAATGTTATATTTGTAAATAATAATGTCTCTGCTGCTATGTATGTTATTGTGCCGACTTTTACGAGCGTGCTCTTGACAGTCCTATAAGAATCGAGACGGCTGCCGTCTCTCTCCGTCTCCCGTTCTCGAAAGCTCTGAGCATCGTCGGAAAGTTGCAATGGCAAGCGGAGGAGAAGGCCGCGCCACTCTCGGTCTAACGAAGCCCGTTGCAATCGAAGTTCCTCAGGTCAAATTTTATTTTATTTTTTCTCCTCTTTATTCTGTCAGGCATGGAGTGTGTGACTGTGTTGATGAATCCAAGCTGCTTGATGAATAATACGGAAGTTGTTTTCGCGAGGATTGGCTTCTGTTGGATTTTACTACGGTGTATTTGTTTGCGACTGGTTGCTTATTTATGGGACGTTTTTTTTTTCTGAGGTTATGGTTTGCTGGCGGCGCTGATGCGTTGATTTGCCCTACGAAATTGGTCAACTTGTCATTCTTATTTGTTTTTTTGATCTGTTTGAATGATTATGGAGTGGCTTTTTATTTGCATTCATCTTTTCATTGTGATTCTGTTGTGAGATATGTACTTCCTGACATAGAAATGAGACGAAAAAGAACACAAGCAAACACAGATCGTTTACGTGGTTCGATCCAACTGGATCTACGTCCACGGGAGGGAATCAATCAAATATTTCACTAAGGCAAAAGAAATGGAGAATACATAGCTTATACATAGAGATGAG